CCCTGAGTTACAGGCCCTTCGTATCTACATCTAAAATTATTTGTTTCTTTCTTTCTTAGCTTCAAAATGTGGACTATTTATAAACGAACGTTATATGAATATACCAGTCGATATAAGTTTACCAGCTATTCGAACTCTTCGTACAGAAATTTCTTATGAAATCGATTATTGGATAATTCATGCAAAATTACGTTTAGATAAAAATAATTCAAATACAATTTATTATATTAATGGTGAAGATGAAATATTTCAAAATCATTCAACTTTATTTATTGATTATACTCCAACACAATCGAATAACAATGAATGGACAGAAAAACGACGAATAATATTTGTTTCTACTAATAAACTCGATCAAATATGTTCAGATATCGAACATAAATTAAAACAATAATTTTTTTTATTTAAATATAATAAATTTTTTATGTTTTAGATAAAAAATGGATAATGAAAATGATTTAGTCGAAAACAACGAAGATGAAATTGAACCTAAAGAACTCGCTACCTTTAAATCACTTGTAAGTTCGTTATTTATTTATATGATAAGAAAATTATTTGAAAATTTCTAGGGTCTAAATGATGTTTTATGTGAAGCATGTGAAAAACTTGGTTGGAAAACACCAACAAAAATTCAATGTGAAGCATTACCAATCTCTTTACAAAGTTTGTATTTCATATTTATTAAATATCTCATTATTTTATTATTATTATTTAATTTTAGATCGAGATATTATTGGTTTAGCTGAAACTGGTTCTGGAAAAACTGGTGCATTTGCATTACCTATATTACAAGCATTATTAACAACACCACAACGTCTTTTTGCTCTTGTTTTAACACCAACACGTGAACTTGCCTATCAAATAAGTGAACAATTTGAAGCATTAGGTTCAAGTATTGGTGTTAAATGTGGTATGAAAATAAATTCTTTTATTTAATTAATTTAATCAATTTTTTTCTTATCATAGCGGTTATTGTTGGTGGTATGGATATGATGTCTCAATCAATAGCATTAGCTAAAAAGCCACATATTGTTATTGCAACACCTGGTCGACTTGTTGATCATTTAGAAAATACGAAAGGTTTTTCACTTCGTTCAATACGTTATTTAGTTATGGATGAAGCTGATCGTATATTAAATATGGATTTTGAAGTTGATCTTGATAAAATTCTTAAAATACTTCCATCATCATCAACACGTTCAACCTATTTATATTCAGCAACAATGACGAAAAAAGTTGCAAAATTACAACGTGCTTCATTACGTGATCCAGTTAAAGTTGAAGTATCAGATAAATATTCAACTGTTGAAAAATTACAACAAAGTTATTTATTTATACCAGCTAAATATAAAGATGTTTATTTAGTTTCACTATTAAATGATATGAGTGGAAAGTCTGTTATTGTCTTTTCATCAACTTGTACAACAACATTAAGATTAGCATTATTAACAAGAAATTTAGGTTTTACAACTGTACCATTACATGGACAAATGAGTCAAGTAAGTTGATTTATTTCATATATATTTTTATCCATTTTATTTTTTTCTAGACCAAACGTCTTGGTGCATTGAATAAATTCAAAGGCAAAGCTCGTTCAATTCTTATAGCTACTGATGTTGCTAGCAGGTAGTTTCTTTTTTTCTTTGTCTATTAATATTAAAATCATTATTCTAGAGGTTTGGATATTCCACATGTTGATATCGTTATTAATTATGATATTCCAAATCATTCAAAAGATTATATACATCGTGTTGGTCGAACAGCTCGTGCTGGTCGTAGTGGTAAATCGATAACATTTGTTACTCAATATGATATTGAATTATATCAACGTATTGAATTTCTTATTGGTAAACAATTACCACAATATACTACACAAGAAGATGAAGTCATGCTTTTATTAGAACGTGTTAATGAAGCTGATCGACAAGCTCGAATACAAATAAAAGAAATGGATGATGATAGAAAAGATCATCGACAAAAACGAAAAAAACAAGACAAACAAAATGATGATTTCGATGAAAAGAAATCACCGAATAAAAAACGAAAAAATGAATTTAATGATTCAGAAAATGGTTTTGGTGTTAAAAAACATTTGAAAAAAAAGAAAAATAAATAATAAAAGTTGTTGTCTCTCTCATATGTATTAATATGAGAGATTGTTGAACAAAATTATTTTTATAACTATACATCATATAAACTATCTACAATAGTATAATATTCGACTCATTTCATCAGCGCTGTTGCAGTTTTCATTTGATTTGTCCTTTATCTTGCTGGAGAATTTAGCGAAGTTCTAAAAGTCTTTAAAAAATATTTCCCTTCAGTAATATCTGATTGTCGCGCAAGTGATCTCAGATTGAGGAAATCCATCAGAGACATGTTCTTATCAAATATTGAATGAAACCGTCTTATATTCGAAGAGAACGTTTAATTTTACTTTTTCGATTTTGGGTTGTCTAGCACTTTTCGTTACACTAATGAAAAACAGGCTCTATGTTAAAATCTCCAGATGAATCACACATAAACTAGATGATTTGATAGGGAAATCAACGCTCTATACAACTAAATAAGAAGAAAAAAATTCTGAAATTTTGAAGAAATGCAGTCAACTATACAAAATTAACGCAATGGCGGATTTAGGAGGGCGATCGCTTCCCCTTCAGAAATTTTTTTCAGAAAAAATAGGTTGACACTACTTCGGTTGAACTCGAAAAATAGTTTTCAGCCGAAATCGCCCGTCCCCCCTACTCAAGTATCGCCTCTCCCTTCGAAAATCCGAGATCCGCTACTGAATTAACGTAATCATATTGTAAAATTTCATTATATATTTTTACTACTTAAATAACATCTAATCTGTGTAACACTTCATAATTTATTTAGTAATCCAGAAGCTTTATTTTCAATCATGTATATCCTATTATTTGATTGAACAAGATTTTTCTTCCTATATTTTACCAAAAAAAGAAAAAAACAATCTACAAATGGGATATATCTTCTATACACTTGACTAATCTTCATCTTAATTACTTATATCATTCATTCATCAATGAATAAAAATAGTGTTTAGATTTAAACTTCATCTTTTCAAACAATTATCAAGTAAAATAAGACGTAAAGATCGAATTTCCAATCGATTATTAGATTTATTTCAAATATTAAAAAGAGACAATTCATCTATACGAATTTTCTATTTATAACAGTAGTTTATTATCGAATTGATCTTTTTCTCGTTCAAGAGTCTCATGATAATAGTCAATAATCTTTTTTTAAACATTACATTCATATATCGCTACATCAAACATATTCAGAGATTAGAAAGTCACGTTTGTTCATTTATTCGAATAGATTAACAAGTATTATGAATAAAATTTTATTATAGATGTAACTTATCATAAAAGAAAAAGAAAGATCAAAATAGCCACAATACTTAAGAACAAACAACAGAAGCTTTATTATTCAAAGGATCATAAGTATTGAACACATGTTGATTTTTTTGTTCTTCTTCTCGTCAACGAAATTAAATCAATTGTACAGTTAGTTTTTCATACATCAAGCAAGTTAATCAATTGAACATGATGTACAATTGAGATAACGATATAGAACAATATAAAGCAAAATGTACTATATGTGATTAGATATATTTTAATTGGAATAAACCCTCAAGCAAATCAGTAATTGATTGAATGAATATATATATTCGTGTCTGGACAAACGATGAGTGTTGATGAAGTGAAGTGACACAATACAGAAGCTCTATACAAATATATACATAACCAATCATAGACAAATATCTTTTTTCACACATAGACACTTTGGAGAAATAAATTGATATTTAGAAAGAGAAAACGAAATAATCCTTTGACTGATAGAAAAACGATAATTAAAAAATACTTTAATTAAAAAACAATCGAAATAGATTTAGATAGAAAATATTTGATTGAACTCATTGCTGTTAAAATTAAGTGAAAGATATTTTGAATTTACTATGTAAGACAATAAATTTAGACAGAGAGAATCTTTCATATACGTATTAGATAAAAGACCGACATGTTGTTTGAACTGACTAGAACAAAAAAGATGGTGAATATCTTAGTTTATAGAAGTTAAGCTTGTATATTTAATCTTATACTGATAGAATCTTTGAATTGTTTTTAATGTGTCTATCAGTGGCGGGGGGCGATTTCGGCTAAAAACTATTTTTGCTGTAAAAAAAATTTCGGAGGGGATGGGAGCGATCGCCCTCTCCCTTAATCACTCACTGGTTCAAGTGTCCATCTCTATTGTATTTTTCTGAAACGAACAATAATAAGATACTGGAGAATTTCCTTTAGATCACACTATCAAACATTCCTTAAAGTCTTAATAAACATCTATGTATATATCATTTATCGAGTTGTACTCTGTTTTTTCATTCGTACATACAAATAATCGATCAATAACATGTTATTATTATGATTTTTCTATGGTTCAATTGACAATATATGTGTCAAGTCATTTTTAAAATCAACACCTCTCTTCTTATAATCTGACATAAATTAATCGAATCAATTGTATCTTCATTATTTTTAGCTTACGGCTGGACAACAGCATGAGAACTATTTTATTTTCAATTCTCATTTGCATAGTTTTAAACAATTTTCTTTTTATTCACAGCTGTCGATAAATCACAAAAAGAAATTAACTCAATTCTCAAATGGTAACACATGTTGTTTGTAAATAGAATTGTTTTATATTGTTCATAATTCATATTGATATAAAAAAAATGTACTACACTCGCATCGGTATCTTCTTACGAATTTCAATTCAATTAGACTAAGGATACGATATAGACATTTTTTTTTATCGATAAACGATCATCATTGGTTCATAACACAAGACAACTATCCAATTGATGAAAGATTTTTTCTTATAAATAATTTCTCTCTCTGTGCTCATCCAATCATTAATAGAACGAGAGGGAGAGAGAAAAAGGTAATTCAACATTGATCAATTCATTTTATCAACGCATCAAGAAAAATAATACATCATTCGAAAGATTGAACCGAATAAGATATAAGATCAATTATTAGATTAATCATGCCTATTTATTATCAATCACCTTCTCGAAAAGTCAATGGATTTTCTATTGATAACATTATTAAAAATGATGATCTATCAAATACTTCCAATCGATTATCATCATCACCATCCTATGTTCCTTCGATTCCATGGCTACCACCATTAACGAATACTTATCAATTTCAACGTGAATCCATGCTTCAATATCTTCGACATATTAATCAATTTACTCGTATGTTTTTATTTGCTATATATTCACTAGTACAAAAAAATAAACCTTATTTATTTTTTTTATAGATTCAGGAATGGCAGCTGCATTTCTTTTTAATTCATATCGTAAACCTAAACGTAATCGTACTGCTTTTACACCATCTCAATTACTTAAATTAGAAAATGCATTTGAAAAAAATCATTATATTGTTGGACAAGAACGTAAAGATTTAGCAAGACATCTAAATTTACCTGAAGCTAGAGTAAGAAAAATCGAAAAAAAAATAAAATTTTTTTTTTTACTAAATACTATTTATTTAGGTTAAAGTATGGTATCAAAATCGTCGTACTAAACATAAACGTTTAATTAATGAAGATGAAAATAGTTGTACAAATGAAATTGATCATCAAAATGAATCAGATATATCAAATTCAATAGTTAAACACGATGAAGATGATGAAGATACATGGAATAACGAAGAAAATGATTATGATTTAGATGTTACTCATGAACAAGATAAAACTTGTTCGGACTAATAAAAAAAAACGATGCACCGGTCTATTCTTTATTTATTTAATACATTTTTGATTTTTTTTTTCTTGTGACATTAGTAGATTGACTTTTCTTTTATAAGATAAAACAAATATGTATTTATTAAAATGATAGTGACACACACTTACATTGATTTTGTATTTTTTCTTTGCTAGATATTACTCAGTACTGGACATATATCGGATTTCTGAAACAACACTAGAATTAAGATTCGCTTTTAAAAATTCTTCCGATGCATAAATAATCGTGATCTCAATGGTAAATTTTTTTTTGATCTGTAAATAGGGATGTGTAGTGTTAGTGAAAATACTGAAAAACGGATACTTAAAATATCATTTCGGTGTCCATCGTGCCACTGAAAATATCGGTGTCAGTGTCCACCGAACACTTATTTTCGGTGTTCAGTGCTCACCGTGCCAGTTTTTCGGTGAACACAATGATATTGTTGCAAATACTAAGGTTTAACACAGAAATATTTTAGAAACTGATACTTTCGGTGGTCAGTAAACCGACACTGCACATCCCTATGTGTAAATAATATTACTTCGAAATAGAGAGAAGAAATCTTTTTGGCAATAAGTTTAATTAGAATCGAAATTTTCATATGGAATGTTTATATAAATTTGAACAGTGAAATCATCTGTGCCGAAGATAAAAAGATGTCGAGAAGCTATTAGGTTGGCCAAAAAATTCTGCAACACTTGCGAAGGAGTTGATTGTGAAATGTGTTGCAGAACTTTTTGGCCAATCTAATAACTTATATTAACAATTTTCTTTATTACTAATAAAACCTCTACTATATAAGAAATTTTGATTGACATATTAGCGCATATTATTACGCTAAAGTATATTTTATATGACTCTATTCACTGTAGATCACATAGGGTACTTGGATATTAAGATTAGTACGAACACGTGTACATTATTTTGTTTATTCCGAGTTGCTATTGTAATATTAATATTTTGTTAAAATAATAATTTTTATCAGTATTATTTTGATTACAAGCGACTGGTTGTTGTGCTTGAATATTAATATTATCATCTATCGTATTTCTGAATATATATTGTTTTGAATCTTATAAAGAAAAGAGTCATGAGAATTTTTTTTTAATATATTAATCAAAAGTAAAATCTCGACAGAAAAATATATCGAAAGAAAATAATAAAATTTTATTTCGCTAAAATAAATAAATATTCTCGTATAAAAGAGTTTAGTTCGATGGAATTGTAATAAATAAAGAATAAATTATGATCAATCGATAATATATTGATGCCATCAATGATATACCATTTGACTTAGGATTAGTATGTGCTATTGGATTTTTATTAGTATTATGATTAGTCTGTGTTGTTATATTTTTACTAATTACATTTACCACTCTAGTTTGTACATTTGTGGTTGATACTAATGCAAGTGAGGTTAACATTTCAATTACCTATTCAAATACTCATAATTAACAATCATTTGAAATTTTAATTAAATAAGAGACTTACATGCTTAGTCGAATTTTTATCATTACAACGATCTTTGTTACATTCAAAGAAAATTTTAAAAGCTTGTGCACTATCAATATTTCCATTATTTGCTGCTTCTTCTAGTACATTGAATCGATATTCTATCACAGGATCTGTACTAGAAGCGTGTATTTTGCAGGATTGTTCTACATCACCTTCTTTTGTACGTTCATATTTACACAGGCTCTTATCATGTGAACAATCCGGATCAGTGTTCTCTTCCTCATTACTGTTAGAAGCAGGGTTAGTCATACATCTAGAAACAAAAGAAAATCAAAATAGAGAAGAAATATTAATTTTCATAGGAGAAAAATAATTTTGTTCTTTTATTTTAGAACAATGAAAAGTAATACTTACATCATCGGTATGGCACCACCCGCAGTAGATGAAATAAGGAAGTTTTTTATTTGGCCGAAAGTTTGCGTTCGTGGTACAATATCAGTCAAATTTGTTAAAAGTTTACGAATTTTATCCAATGCACAATTATCATATGTATCACATTGAACACGTGTTGTCATTTTGAATTCATTTTGTTTTAAATTTCCTTCAATTTTATATTGTACAATACTTCGTATATCATTAGCAAAACCAAACATATCATCATAGGGACTTTGTTGTGAGTTAGCAAAATAGACACGTCTAGTTATAACTTCCATTTTTTTCGTATTATAATCAATTGAAATTTCTGCATAACAAGAGCCATCAGAACTACCTAGGAATGTAATTACACCAGCTTCTTTAATTTCACATTCGGTATGTGATGCAGTTAATAAATCATCAGTAGGTATTGGATCAGTAATATTGAGATTCATTGAACATTTATTTCCTAGAATTGATGCATGACGGTTTGTCATACATTTAAGTGTTGTAACAGGAAAATATTTGGAAAAGAAAAGGATAAATATAAGGAAGATCATAAATGAATTGTATTAAAGTTAGATAAATCAGAATAATGAATAATATAGCGCCATAAATTACAAAGCTATTTATTTTCAAATCAAAATAGCTAGAAAATTCAAAAAACATTATTTCGACATGCATAGAAAGACTCAAATTCTTTTGGCTCATTGCCATTAAATAGTAATTAATTTCTATAACAGTTATAAAGCATTTGTAAATCTTAGTGTTTATTTTATAATCTATAAATTGTATTAAGGTCTTTAACATTCTACTCAGTGTCTAGTCTTATATACCTATTGTATTATAGAATATAGGATGATGAATAAATATTCAACTAAAATTAAAAGTAAAGTGTAATAGGTAGACAAATTAGATATTACTAAGTCTATAAAAACTAAATAAAACAATTACGTTTTCTATATTGATATTAGTCAATTGAATATTATCATCTTGAACTATTACATACGAACAATTAGTAATTTGAGTCAGATCAAATAATGAATAAATATCAATAAAAAATTTATTTGCAATAACTATTTGAACATTCATAATATTACGAATATTATCGATAATTACATAACATTTCACAGTAAATCAAATATATTTTCATTGTTTCTCATGCGATGTAAACTATTTTTTATTATTATTCACACATTAGTTCTGTTTGTAATCGTAATAGAACGAAAAATGAATTGACGCAATTTACATGCACTTTCATGCATATATTTGTACTGAAATAGAAAAAAAAAGAGTTATGTTTTGATATATTGTAAAGTATATATATATATATATTTATTTTCAATAAATAAAATGAACAGATTATTAGATAATAGTTTTATTTAATATGGTTTGTAGAAAGCTACTGGATTAAATATTGGTTGATAATAAGGATATGATCCTCCCATGACTGGTACAGGTAGAGGTGTATAGATGATTTGAGGAGGAGCTTGAACTAATGGAAAATTGTTCATGTATAATTGTTGTGGCATACGAATTCCTTGTTGTTGATGTTGTGGAATTGGAAATTCTCTTTGAAGTTGTTCTTGGGAATGATTACGAAGATATTGTAGCTGTGGTAGCATTGGATATTCTCTTGGCATTGGCTCTTGTGAATGATTACGACAATATTGTAGTTGTCGTAAACCTGGATATTCTCTTTGAACTTGTTCTTGTGAATGATCACGATGATGTTTTTGGTGTTGTTGAACTGGAAATTCTCTTTGAAGTTGTTCTGCGGAATGATCACGATGATATTTTAGTTGTGGTTGAACTAGATCCTGAGAATGGTTGTTATGATGATGATGATGATGCTGCTGCTGCTGTTGTGGTACTGCTTCTGATTCTTCTCGTTCACCATTTCCATCAGAATATACAATATCCCATGATAATTCATCATCTACTACATTTGGTTGACTAGCTGATTTAGATAATGTTGGATTATCATTCCATGCAATATGTTGTTCAATTGGTATTTCTTTCATATTTCTAATTGATTTTATTCCCCATAAATCTTTTGTTAGAACTTTATCAGATACATAATCATAAGGTAAATAACCATAACCATGATCACCCCATTGAAGTCCATGTGAATTTCGTATAATAAAAACTTTTTCCGAATGAATATAACCTACACAAACAACAGCATGTCGAAATTGAGAAGATTTCTCATTTTTTTTTGGCATTGGAATATATCCTTGATGATTTGATGCGAATGAAGGAAATATTTTTATAGCCATTACAAATGGATAACCTTGAGCAAGACATTCACGTAATTGATTAACATTATTTGAAAGTCGAATAAATTCATTTAAACAATAATTTTGACCATTTTTATAAGCATCATTACTTGGTCGTTGATTAATTAAATGTTCATGAAGTGGCCAATATTGTTCTTCACAACAACCATATTTTATTAAACTTACAATAGCAAATTGTAAATCAGCACCTGAATCTGTTTCAGTTGCATTTCGTTTTGATACATCATCTTCTAATAATCGAGCATTATAATAAATAAATAAACGACTAAATATTTTTATTTGACCAGTTGTATAATAATGAAAATATTCTAATATAGATGCTAAGGAATTTCCAACACATGAACCAAGTGTATATTGTTCTTCAATTGGACTTAAAAATGAACGTAAATCAACAATATTTGGTAATTGTTGTCGATTTAATAAGGATAAAAATGGTCGAGCAATATTTAATAATGGTTTTACACGAGATTCACGACAACCATCTAAACGATATTGACGTTTTGTACGACGATTGAAAAGTAAACCACCAAGAGTCATGATAAGAAGAAAAAAAATATGAATAATATTTGATATGCTATGTCTTTAGTAATATACTCATCAATAAATATCTATGTATTTTTCTATGATAGAATAAATCGAAGGCCGAACGAAAAAAAGTAATGAATAATCATTTTTACTCATTCATCGATAGATTTATCATAAATCTTTAAAAATAAATCATTAAATTACGTAAAAGAAAATCATTCATGCATTACTGATAATCATTTTTTTTTAATACGAAAAATATTTCTCAATTATTCTTTGAATTAACAGTTTATTATAATAACTAGCGCCATCTATTGTAAAAAATAAAAAAAGGATTTTATTATATTTATGAATTCTTGATTTCAAATATAGATTTACTTGTATATCGTACTACTATATATATTAAATAGTTATTTAGTTATTTTTATACTAAAGGATGTTACTAAGTAATGAAATTGCAAATGGTTACTACAAATAGTTTTTGAGAAATTGAGTTTGTTCATTTGTCAAACAAATTTAGTGTATAGACCAATGGCACATACTAATTCAAATGAAGTAGAAAATCCTGATATTAATCCATGGGGTCAAGCGATTTTACGTGCTAAAACATCATTGATTAAACCTTATTCAAAAGTAAAAATAATTCGATTTTATTAAAAATATTTTTTTTCTATTGTTTATTTAAGTATACTGAAGAAGGTCTTCGTCCACGAACACCCAATGATCCTTATTCTAATCTAACAAAAGAACAAATATCAAATATTGAAACAACAGATAGTCCATTATTTTTTAGTAAAGCTCGTAATTCATCAGCAAATGGAGCTTTTCGTTGTTTTCGTCAACGTCAAACAGACTCAGTACCAATGAGTCATTTACGTACAGGTGGAGCTGTAGGTGCTGGTACAGACTATACATATGTTACTCCACAAGCTTATACATCAAAATTACCCGATGAATATAATGGTTGTACTGCAGATGCTTTTCCAAAATGGTATCCAAATCAAGCAGGTGATAGAACACTTAAACAACTACGAGATACTGTACCAGTTGAAAGATATGTTTCAATTGATATGTTTCGTCGTGCACCAACAGCACGTGCTGGTCAAATTATATTTGATCATGGACGACCCAATGATGGATATTATTATCAAAGAAATGGATGTAAGTATACATATATTTGAGAAAAAAATAAGATAAAAGTTTTTATTTCGATTCAAAGATGATACAACATGGTTTGGTTCTGAAATGCCATTAAATCGTCGTCATATACTTGAATCAATTCACTTAAAAACAACTGCGGAATATGAACAAAAAAATGCAGAACAACAAGATCAATATCGAAAAGCAAAAGGAAAATGGCCACATATATCAGAATATGGTGATCAATTTGTACTTGGAACAGCAGTTGAGCGAATTAAAAAAACAGAGTATGTATTCAAAAGAATAACAATTAAAGATCTATTCGAGTCTGAAATCCCCCGCTTGACAGGCAGATGCCTCAACCATTGGTTTTATACCCTGTTCATCTATCGGAAAGGATGGATGATGATATTGTACAATAGTCGTCTCTATACTACGTAATAAATGAAGAACGTTGATAAAAAATAGATAGATGTGTCCTGTATTTGTCGTCTAAATTGAAGGAAAGAAAAAGAAAAATAATTTCTTAAGTAATATTTTTATTTTTACATCTATCCTTTAGTTTACTGAGTACTTCGATATTTAATTAATTAAAACCTACATATAATAATGAGAAAATTTGATATTCATTTGGAGTTGAATTAGTTTATAAAAAAATTATTAGAACAGCTTGGGTTTTTTTCCCTTAATCATTGGGTTTGTATTTTGTTTTCTAGTTTGGAACGAGCTAAAGAACATGTTGGACAAAATCCAGGACGTCACACATCACTACATAATAATTTAGCTGCACGAGCTGTTCTTCAAGGTCGAACATTAATCAATGAACCATCACTTGTCGTTAAATGCTAAAAATGATAATTTTTTTTCTTTTTCATTTTTTTATATTCATAAACAAAAAAGACTGAATATGAAATTAATTTTAATATTATATAAAACTTTTTCTAAATTTTTGAAATTAAAACTTAATTATATTTATTAATTGTTATCGCTAATTTAAAGAGTATGGTCTTATCGATAAAAGGAGAAATGTCATATTTAAAAATACAGATTTTAATAGTAATATCACTCATTAAATTCCTTCCGCCGATTGAGATAATATAATGAAAGAAACGTGTTAACTACTAACGCATTTTTTACAATCATATTATCAAGTTGAAGTAATACGCTATGTTAAGATTGTATATCGTTCCAATAAGCTTCAAGACCATATCAGTAAACAAAACCTTGTACAGAAACATGTGACTATACAATATTATCGACCTTCGTTCAGTTTACAATAGAATATCTTTTTCGCTAAATATTGAAGTCTGAAATTTTTTTATCCATAATACATTTTGTTAATGTTGTTAAGATTCATCATCTATGAATTTATTTGGTATATATACAAAAAAATATTTTTATAACATCCGATATTTACAACTATTCTATAACAATGATTTATTAACAAAAATAATCTAATTATTCGTCTTATTCTTTCATATTGATTAAAAAATCAAAATAATAATCGATGTTGAATCCATTGAGCGATTTTTTTTTGAACACATTCAGCTTCTGACGCCCATAAATGAAATAAAGCAAATGTATGCATTGAACCTTCAGCTTCATCATATGTAACGCTTACATCAACTTTTCTTGCATTAGTAACCATTTTACGAATTGATTTTATGAATATTTCATTTGTACCAGCTGTTATATAAAGAGGTGGAAATCCTTCATATGAATCTTCTTTTGGACTTAATCTTCGTTTTTCTACATCAGTTAATTTATGCCAATCCGTATTTTTACCAATTGCTAGTTCCCTTAAATTAAATGCAAGATCCAATGCTAAATAATTATTTGACTCTATGTGAAAACCAATATTATCAAATGAAAGACTAGGCCATGGCGAATGTAAAACAACACCTTTTGGAACAGGTTTATTATTTGTTGCAATCCATTGTAATAGATGAATCCATAACATACCACCTGATGAATCACCCATTCCAATTAATCGTTCATTAATATTCGGATCAGCTGCAAGTAAAGTTTCATAAACTCCAATAACATCTAAGAGAGTATCTGCATGAGAATTTTCTGGTGAAAGAAAAAATTCTACATGAATTATTAACATATTAAGTTCTTTTGATAAATGACATTCCAAACCAGAATATGTTTCAATACCACCAAAAACAAATCCACCACCATGAAAATATAAAACGAATGGTTTATGAGAAGTTTTCCAATCATCTACTTGATTATGTTGTATATAATTAACATATACATACTTATCACCATAGTCAAATCGAGAATTTCGAACTATACAAGATGGTGTTCGAGCTGGATGTAAACTAGTTAACATTTGTTTTGAATTATCACGAAGCTTAGTAATATCGTCATCTGTAACATTCTCACTTATAAATAGTCGTGGATGATACAAGTCTATAATTTCATCTAATGCTTTTGAGCCAGCACTCATTCCTTTGGGTCGTGGACTTAATATTGGAAAAATTGCATTTCGCATTGTAAGTATTCGATGCATCATTTTCATACGTGAATAACGTGCTACTGCTGATAAAGTTTTATCATTAAATTCATTCATAAGAATTAATGTCGTAACCATTGCACATGTACTCAATACCCATCCACTGAACATCGTTAATAAACTGTATATGAGAATATCTAACGTCGACAAAAATGAATGATAAATAAAGAAAAAAATAATCAGTTCTTTGCTCTTTACAGTCAAGCGTGAAAAAATATTTCGATGATATATGCGTAAAAAATATACAACGGTAGGGTAATCGATCGAAAAAAAAAGTATGATTAAATATAAAACATGCGTTTTTCTTTCCAGTAGTATTGATTATATTTTTAGAGATGCTTCGCATTATTCTTTTATTGATGATTAAGTAGCTGATTTCTATCATCGATATATATAATATCATAGGTTAACAATCGAACGATAAAAATATGATGATTAATCAAAAAAACAACGCGTATTGATTCTTTTTATTTACTGAGGAGATATTTGAATGTACAATTCTTTTTTTTCTATTCTATAATTGAAACAAAACATCTCAGGTGTGAACAACGTTTTTTTTTCTCTTCAACCAAATCAAAATAAATGATTCATAAATATCTATTTTGTTTTTTGTACTTTAATTGTCAAGTGCAAAGATTAATTGTCAATGCAACCGAAAAAGAAAATGCTCTGTTAAAAAGCTATAATTTTGAAGGTGATTGTAAAGTATACCACGCGGCTGTGTAAAATTAGAACACAAAATTTTTTCAGCGACTTTTTTGTATGAGTAATTTTTTTATATAACAAAACGAATTAATATGATTAATGATTATACTGAGCCAACAATATTTTATTTTTCAGGTGTTTATAAAGAAAAGGGAGTAGACAATGTTAACATTCTGGTTAAATCGATTTTTTCAACAGATAGAAACTGTAAACAAGTGATTATACAAAAAAAAAATACTTTTGAGTATTACGAATCATATATTGTCATAAAAAGAACCTTATAGACACACTGTGACCGTAGAGTATAGATAATAGAATGATTGGTTTGTATAATAAATGACACCTATCATATCGATAACCCAGACTGAATATTTGCATATACATAAATCGAGAAAAACAAAATCAAAAAATTTCAAAGTGATTTAATCTTCATTATCAGTAGTTGTTATCTCATCGTTATTCGATTCAAAACTATCATAAATTGGACGAATATTTTGTTTTGTTGAAATATTTTCATTCGTCATTGAATGTAAATGATATCGTTGTTTTTTGTAATATACAATACAAATAATAATGACAATTAGAAAAATTATTAAAGTAAATAGAAGGTAAGTAGATGTATTAGAAGATGAATTCTTTTTCAATGCTTTCAATGTTGTTAATACACTAAGAATTAATATATTTCATGTTTAAAATGATTTTCTGCTCTACCTACGATTGTGTTGAAGTCGTCAATGTCGATTTATCATATATAACCGATAGTGCAAGATTTTTATTTTGATTGAATGTAAATAAATACGCTGTAAATGTTGGTGTTGTTGTTGTTATACGTTGAGTATTTCCTATAGAAATAAAATTGTCGCAGAATAATTCAATTATTTTATACTTTGAATTTGAAATTTTTTTAATAATTCAGTACGAGCTTTATTAACTCGTTGCATTGCTTCTGTTGCACCAGGTATTTTTACTTTATCAGGATGTACACGTAAAGTTAATGTTCTATGAGCATTAATAATTGTTTCCCATGTTGAATGTTTATTAATATTAAGAATACCATAATAATCATCAGATGTTTTAGATAGGATACGTTTTATTTCAGCTACTTCTTGTTGAGTATATCCTTTTTTAATAAGACTTTGTATTGGTTTTTGTTCATTACTTGAATATAATAAATTATCATTATCATTATCGAATACAATATTTTTTCTTTGATTAGTTTTCAATCCTGATTTTGAAGGTTTATCAAACATACGTCGTTTAAATCTTTGATTAATATTATTAGTTACATCGAAAGATAATATTAATAATAAAAAAATACATCGAATCATTAGCATATTATGATTTAAAGAAAAAAAAATGTTCGATGAAAACAATGAATATATGCGCCAATTTAATACTAAAATACATTCGTTAGTTGAAATATTTATATAAAGATACTTCGAAAGCGTCATATATTTCGATATTTATTTTTTAACTGAAACAAAAAATGTACTGATAATTTTTAACAGATAAACAAAGAAAGAAGAAAATGTAAAGCTAATATTTATTCATTTATGTTCAAAAGAGTTTTGAAGTAAATAATGTATCTTTTATTCCTACGCGATGATTTGATTCACTGTCAGTAAATGCACTTATTGGTCTTTTCAGTTTATGCACCTATTTATTTTTCTGTTTTTGTATTATTACATAGACAGGTCGGTTTAACATCAAACTGAATATAGTTATTCAAGTTTTTAGGCTTCAAATGAAAAGATTAAAGAAATATTGTGGTGAGATTCACAGAGCTATTACATTCATTAGCTGTGACTGTTATCAAAAACAAAACCAAGAATAGATCGTTCTAGTAAGTGTCTTGCTAATAATACAATGAAACTTATCATTCCGAAAAGGATTAATGACCGGGATGACATTAGCAACAACTTCAAATAACTTCTATAGCGATCTTTTTAAACGAAGAACTGAATGAACTCTATTCAATAGTATACCACTAAATAGAGTTCTTTGAATTCTATTTAGAATGCTAACAAAATATATGAGATAGATTTCTCGACATATCAGTGCTGAAATTAATTGCGTTGAATGACATAAGAGTAAACTTTACATCTTTTATCTAAAAGTTTAAATCTATATGACATTATTTGTCTAGTTTTGAATAATTATCGTTTCAAAAATAGCATAAAATGTCAAGTTATATGATGTTAAAGATGAAGAAAGAGATATTACAGTTAAGGATTATCAGAAGATGAATTATGATGAAAATTTTACAGGTACTCATTATCATTATCACGAAAGTTAGAAAAATCAATTAAAGAATAATATTTCTTTTGTGTCCGATTAACCTAAACCTCATCTTTCCTAAAATAAAAATTGTAGCTCTCTATCTTTTTTTCTATTTCAGAATAGATACTAGGCATTTATTTATCAATCTATGCCGAAATGTAAGTTACACTAATCTTTCTCTTTACCCATCGATAATCTTACGAAACTATTAAAATAACACACTTTAACAAAAGTAATTTGATCGTAAAACAATTTGTTTTACGTCAGATTATTATCTGATATTTAATTGCCTATCATATTTCTAGTTACGTATTGCTGATTAAATCTCAACAATAACATTGCCAGTGTCAAATATAATGTTCATAATGTCACCTTCCCAGTTCTTCATAGGCACCTAGTATTATAATTCGTTTCAAACATATGTTTTTGTCTTCATATTTCATCTAGTCCAAAGTTATATTAGTTAAACTAGTAGGTCAAAATAAATCTATATTTTACAGATTTCCTGTGTAATATTTGCTACATACGAATTCATGAAAAAAAAATTTTCGATATTTAAAAAGTGTAAATCTGCTTAGATAGAACATAGTATTTTTTAGCGTGTATATTTAAATTTATTTTGAGAACATATTAAAATTTATAAGCGTTTAATTTTATTCTAGAATGAAACCTAATTGTAACAATAAAACAAAATGACCTATTTTAATTGACTAATAAATTCATCGAATAATACGTTTAATTAACTTGAAAGCAGCTTGTTGAAAAACACGACCACCCGTTATCGTGTAAATATAGAATGGCATTGCACTAGCTAAATATGTTAATGAAAGACTAAATGTAAAAATTGAATTTTCTATTGTATTTTGTAATGATGATTTAAATACATTTCTTGTTATTGTTAAATAAATCATTTCTATACCTTGTGGAAATGTAAATAAAGTTATAAAACTAATTTGTATAAGAAGCATTATAAAAAGATGACGATCGATTAATTTTAATCGTTGTCGATGTTCATTACTAACTATTGTTTGACCTGATTTTGGTATAAGTGACATTTGTACTCGATGATGCATTTGACGTATATTTGATAATGTTAAAAAACCAAATAATATCATTAATATTATTGGCATTAATATTGTAAAACATACATAAATTTGATCGGAAAATATTCGACATTTTATTGTTTTACTATAACATTTAAGTGGTGTATTATTAAGATTTGCATGATAACAATAAAATGTTGGTAAATGAAGAAAACTTGATAGAATTATAATAATAATTATTCCACGTTTTGCATTTTGTAATTTACTTATACGTCGATATTGAATTTGTTTACATGATAATAACCAACGATCAAATGTAGCTAACATTATAAGCCATGCTGCAATTGTTCTTGATGTTAATACAGTAAAAGCTCGTAATTTACATAACCATTCAATCTGATCAGTTATAACAATAGTCCACGTAGATAATACTCTTGTTGGTAATCCAGATAAAATTGAAATAAGATTAAATATAGATGAAATAAGAAATAACCATGCACATGAATTTGATCGAAGGGATTTTTCAGATAAAACAAATGTATTTAAAATATTACCTATAACTCCAAATATAAATAAAAATATAGAAAAATAACAATTAATTTTTGTTGATGTATCATTCCACATTGAAATAATCATAGTTATATTGGATGATACCATCATCGATCTATGAAAGACACAAAAAAAAAGAAAATTATTTTACAATAATTATAACTATGTTATCTTTGAACTAAGAAATAACTAATAGAATATAGATTAACTTTACTGAAGAATAACAAAGAAGGAAATGTAAATCTGTAGGATGAATGTAAATACAAGAAGAGAATACAAAAAGTATTCCAGGTAGTATTGTCAAAGACTGACGGAACAAAGAACAAACGATGTGAATTCAAACGGAAATTCACCTTTAAGTTTTCCTATCAATGATATATACTCATAATCAATACAAAAATTAGATGAAAAAATTTTTCTACCATCATTTATAATTAAACGTTCTTTTTTGCACTGGAAATAATTTTTTTAACGTAAGAATAGAGAAGTAGATATCGTTTATTTTATTAACTGTAATAATATAAGAAAAAAATCGATGTATTTTGTCAGGTTTTACATGAGATCAAACTCGCTCTGTTAAATGAAAAATGATGACTTCCGAGATATACTTACTAACAAGAAGGAAATAGCATTTATATATCATGACATGAACATCTTAATGAATAGCATTGTTTGTGTATTATTATTTCTTTGAGACATGTTCAATGGGACGATGTATAACCACATAATTACAAAATAATGTCATTAGTTATATTAATATTTAGAAACGTCATAAGATAAATGAGTTCTGATTTTCTCCGGAAAGACTTTGAACTATGTAAATTATATCATACAAATAGACGTGACTTCATGTAACAGAATGGTTCGTATAGTGCATCTTTGTTTTATCTATCAATAGACAAATATGAATTCAATTAGAAAATAAACGAAGTTCCTTTCTTACTGATATATAATAGTTCAAATAGTCTATTGAAAGAACATACGTATTTATCGAAAATCTATTATAATTACATTATATGTAATATATGAACTAGTAGCTAATAGCAGTGCATGTCTTTTTTTCAATACTAAAAATAAACATGGTGATGTTAATAAAAACTAAAGTTTAAAAGAACTAGTCAACGATAATCTTAACATAAGGAGTATTTATTTAATTGCATATAACTAAAAACGACTGTGATTTTATAATTGACAGGTTATGGAGTACAGTATGAACACGGAATTATTTAGTTAAGATGTACTATAACTATGTCTTTTTATTAAACATATATTGACAGATCAAAACAACAACTCTGTACTGAACTGTACTTGAAAGTACATTGTCTACTGTTATTAAATTTGTTTTGAAATTATCTAATACTTAGAAAGCTTGTTAAAACTTGAACAAACATGCTAAGTATTCATTTTTGTTAAATAACTCAAATAAGACGAAGCAAAAATCATGGATATTATCGTTTGTAATAGATCGAAATGATGTCTGTCTATCGTAAAAAATTCTATAACATTTTACATTCGTAGTTTAATTATTCTGCTTTGTTTATTGTTAACAAAATGGAATATTTTATGAAATATGACACACGAGAACCTCTGATGTACTACAAAAAATGATTATAAGAATATGTCGATAATAATAATTCCGATGTCTGTTGAAAACTTATATCAGAAAAAGATTCAGATATCATTGTTTATGACAGACAAACTATTACTTAATGTCTGGTGAATACCAGTCAGCATATACTTGAACCATTAGCTTACAAAATTTAATACTTTTTCGATTTTTATTCGTAGAAGATTATTTTGAGAAAATAATAATAGGTAAACTTTACTCGAAGATTTTCTAGTTTAATATTTTCAGATAATAATTTTAATTTCATCCATCAGTAATATTATCTTCGCTCATCATCTTGAATAACAATGTTGGAAATGAAAAATTAGCAGCTGTACTACATAATTATGATGACATTGTTTGTTCGAATTTAGAATTTAAAAATATTGAATAATGCTTTTCGAAAAATATTTCTACCACATAAAGTATAAATATAAAATGGTATTCCACTTGCAATAAAAGTTAACAATAGAGAAAGATTATATATCGATTTATTAACTTGAATGAAAAATGTTGTATATAATTTTCATATTGCTTGAGGAAATAATAATATCGAAAGAAGTATACTTTCAACTAGAAGCATTTTAAGAAGAGGATGATCAATTTTTCGTATTTTCTTGCAGTTGGATTAATCCTTTGTATACGTCGTCGACTTTGACGTACATTAAAAATTGTCATCATACCAAAGATTATTAACATTATGATTAATGGTATTACTTCGATACATAATATCATTTAAATGACAGCATATCTCTGTTTTTCTATAAAATTTTAATGAAGTAAACGATAGATTTGGTTCATAGCAATAAAACCAAATAACAAAATAAATATTGATTCGTATGAATTGTTATATAATTTAATAGAATCACTCTCTGATAAATTCATTTCTAATCATATAAAAATAAATTAGTAAATAATTCTCTCTTATTTTTTTGCCGCACCTGCTTTTCATAACACGAGAGGTTTATTATATAAAAATTTCGAATATAATTTGGTTGATATTATTCAATTATTGAGTTTTTGTACGTTAAAATATATAAAGTTATTTGTCCTTGAATAAATGTAGATAACCTTTATTATAGTTTTCATTATACTCTGAAGTCGTTTTTTATATGATTAATAAGATTAATTCATTCATTACTAGTACCATTTAGTTTTAGAAAAGAATAGCATTGAACATATTTAGACGCGTCTATTTTAAGCAGTCAGTCAGTGCGATATTATATCTTAAAATCAATCTGACTTCTACTGACACATCATCGTCTAGTAAAGCTGCATATGAATGGTTTAATATGATGACAAATGAATAATTTTGAAAGACATGAAGGTACGTCATACACGTGACATAATCGAAAACGAAAGATACTATTCAAATATCAATGATGTATTCATTTGCTTTTGTATTTAAAAATCAATAGATCGATAAATATTATTTTCATGGCAAATACTGCAGAATATTCATCAAAAACAACTCGTGATGGTTTTCTTAGTTATTCCGATGGTTCTATCGAAAATGGTTTAACAACATTAACTGCTGTTGAAATACAAAAATTAGATAATACGAAAGAATATGATGTAATTATTATTGGTGCTGGATTTGCTGGTCTTATTGCTGCACGTGAACTTGGTCTTCGTGGACGAAAAGTATTACTTATTGAAGCAAAAGATAGAATTGGTGGTCGAACATTTACAGCTCAAACTAATGATCATAATTTTGAAATTGGTGGTACATGGATTCATTGGAGTCAACCACATGTTTGGAGTGAAATTACACGTTATGGACTTTCATTAAAGGAATCAAAAGGTGTAGCAGCTGATCGTATGAGTATATTGCTTGAAAATGGTACTAAATTAAAAGAAATCTCAATGCTTGATAGTTTAGTAGCATTAGCTAATGCAATGGAAAAATATAGTGATGTGGATGATGTTCAAGGACGTACAGTTATACCTTTTCCACATACGCCTTTTGTTGCAAATGAACTTGTACAAAAATATGATCAATTATCTATGCAGGATCGATTTGATCAAATAATCGATTCACTTAATATTACTGATGAAATAAAAGATATGTTATTAGCATTATTATCAATGAATATGCAAGGTGATATTGCAGAAGGTGGATTTATTGATCATCTACGTTGGTGGGCACTTGGTGATTATAATATGATTCGAATGTTTGATAAACTTAGTCGATATAAAATCAAAGAAGGAACAAGTACATTAGCTCAAGCGATATTGAATGATTGTAAAAATGTAACGTTATTATTATCAACATCTGTCTTATCTGTTGATCATACGAATACAAATAGTAGTATTATTCGTATACAAACAGGTGATTTATTATTAGCTCGATCAGTACTCGTAACTGTTCCATTGAATGCATTACAAAATTTAAAATTTTTTCCACCACTTGGAATAAAAAAACAAGAAAGTATAGCGAATGGACAATGTCCAGGTGGTAGAAAATTTTGGGTTAAATTAGAAAAACCTATTGGTCCTTGGTTTGGTATGGCACCATATCCAAATCCAATTACAATGGCTTATACTGATGATGAAGAAGGATATATTATTGTTGGTTTTGGACCAGATGAATTACTTGATATTCAAAATATTAATATTGTAGAAAAAGAATTAAATAAATTTCTTCCTAATGTTAAAGTTACATATGTTCTTGGTCATGATTGGCGAAATGATCCATTTATATTAAGTACATGGTCATGGTATAAACCAGGACAAATGTGTTCAAGTCTGAAAGCACTTCAAATAGCAGAACCACCCATATTTTTTGCAAGTGGTGATATAGCTGATGGGTGGCGAGGTTTTATTGATGGTGCAATAGAAAGTGGTCTTACAAATGCTCGATATATTCAACAATATCTTAATAAACGTTTTCCATCTCATTAATTATCATTTTTTTTTTAGTTTGTAATAAATTGTCATGAAGACTTTAGAGAATTTCTATTAGTAAATCAATAAAACTAATTGTTCAGTTCTTTTGGGTCGAAATTAAAATAATTTATTGGTTATGTCTATTTCAAAGGCATACTTGTCCTTCTATTCAATAGTCAAATATCATAATATCGATACAATGACGTACATATTCGTTACGCATCATTTATCTTGTCTTTTTTCAATATTTATATTCTTTGTCCTTTTTTTCTTTTGAGTATTGATTGATTTAATCGCTTAATAGATGTTCATATTATGATTAATAAAGAAAAAAAACGATTATGATAATTTATACATTCAAATAAATAAACTATTATTAATTTACATTTTTATTTATTTTTTGATATGAAACTATGATATACGAAAAAGAAGACAAGTAACTAAATTTCTAATTCAAAATTTTTCTTTCCATTAGCTTGTAATTGAAGTTTAATTTTTGCTTTTTCAGATAAATTACAACCTTTAATCGATAATTTTGTTAATGTTTGATTATATTCTAACAGTTCAAGAAGATAATCAAGACTTGAATCAGTTATAAATATATTATTTGAAAGATTTAGAACTTTCAAGGTTGTATTATAATCAATCAATATATTTGCTAATTGTCTCACTCCTTCATCACCAATTTCATTATTTGCTAACTGTAACTCTGTTAATTTATCATTTACTTTAAGCATTTTAGACAAATAACGTATACCATCATTTGAAATACCATTTTTACTAAGATATAATTTTTCAAGATATACGGAATGTTTTGGTAAAAGTACTTCGCTTAGTAAATAAACTCCAGTATCATTTATACGATTATGAGATAGATTAAGACTTCTTAATGTTAAATTATTGGGTAATCTAAAAGCTAGAATTGCTATACCTTGTGATGTTATGTGATTTCCAGATAAGTTAAGTTCTATACATTGTTTATTTATAATGATATGTTTAAAAATCATTGACATATCATGATCAATTAAATGCCAATAGGATAAATCAACGTATGATTTTGGTTTAATTGAATGAAATTTTTGTTCAAGTTTTGGATGATAATAAATTTCTGAAACAAAATTTTTCTTTACGGGATTAACAGGTTTTAATCGAAATGAAATTGTTTGTGAACATTTGTGTGGTAAATTTCTATTTTTTAACATATCCGATAAACACATCTGAAATTATTCCTAGAAGATTCTTATTTCGAATATAATCAATGAAAATATTTTCAAAAAAAATTTACCTTGAAAATAAGACGTTAAATAACAAAATGGGTTGTAACTTGATTTTAATAAATTAACAAATGTCAAAACTCATTGAAAATTGTTTATTTATTCAATTAATTTCTAATATTATTAATACTATTCTATTTACGAACGTTTGAATAAAGGCATAAACACTATAAGATATATTATTTGGTCTAATTTTTTTTTTCTCTCTTATATCATATGAAGAAAATAGAACGAAAGAGGTATCTTTACTCTAATCGAAAGGTTTTTGTATATTTATCATCATAAATATATCAAGGATGTTTGTATTTTTTTTATATGAATATCATATAAAAAGATAATTAACAATATACTATTAACCTTGATCATTACAAATTCTTTTGGTAATTTATTTTAAATTGTTTTAGTCTGTTATTTCAAGTATAAGTGTTGTTGTAAAAGAAACATATTTGATTTTCTTTTGATAATATATAAAATATTTTAAAATTTAAAAAAGGAAAAGTAGCAGCGAGTAGTTTCGATCTACCGACCTCTGAGTTATGAGCCCAGCACGCTTCCACTGCGCCACGCTGCTTACATCTCAGTTTCAAATAATTATTTTCGATATATTAATCTAATCAATGTATATTTTTAAACGTATTCTAATATTAGCATACATAGTTAAAAATGATTTTTCAACAAGATTGTACTTATCAAAAAATAATTACTATCACATCTATATATCTAAATATTTATTATAATTATTCACCTATATAAATTTTTATTTTTAGATAGAAACGGCGAACAATCTACGTTTTCATATAGATAAAAAACGAATTTCAACGTTTTTTTTTTCGTAGTTTGCTATAGCCGATCTTTTGATTATCATAATCTATTTTCAATGTTGTTTAACCACTCATATTCCTAGGCGAGAACAACGAACTTTGTTTATAAATTCTCCGCTATTTCCTATTTGTTCACATCCTGAAAGTAGTTTTTAAAATATCATTCGATTACGAAAAGTAATGGCACCATCGTTACTGTTCTATTCGTTTTACAATTGATGAGAGCCAATTCTAGGACAACCGTATTATATTCTGTCGTCTTTTATGTGTGCCATTATTTTCAACAATAGTTGGTAGTAAAGCAGCATGTTCATCTAATTAGAACATCTCAACATTCATTTAAATGTTTACGACAAATTACTTGCTAACATCCAAAAAGATCTACATCTTTATCGATGCACATGCATTACTTTCATTGACGCAATGACGAAAAAGACGTCATGAAAATTTATACTTTGTAATGAGAAAATATGAGCGTACTTTTTCTTCAATATAAAAACAAGTAACGCTCGTCTGAAGACTCACCCAACTCTTTCTCGTAGAAATGCATCCTCTTCTCATTTACTGGAAAAACAATTGAAAACCGTGAAAAATCGGTATTTGATGTTTTTTTGACCTCTCTGCCCCCTCACTATGGTCATCCAATAGACCTCAGATTCGACAAACCTCTAGAAATGTCTTTTTCGAAAAATCAGTTTTCGATGTTTTCTTGACCCTGCGGACAGACAAACAAACAATTTATTCTTGCAAGCCTGTGCTCTATGAGAAAGAGAATAGAATTTTTATTGAATTTATTTGATTAAAATTTAGTTTGAAATAGTTTTTATCTGAGTTGAAGAAAGAAGACGAACAGAATCTCCAACATCATATAGATAAAAGTAAAGTTTCCATGGTAAAGGACATTTTTCAATATCAACATTAATTACACGTGTTCGTTTTGTTTTTTCATTAAAATAACTAATTTTCGTGTTATCACAATCAATTAAAAATTCGATATGAAATTTTGTTTTGCCTTTTAAATCAGGAGAAAATTGTTCATTTGGTGAATAATATTGTGAAGGAATAATAAAATCATCACTTTGCCAACCATACGTTAAAATTTCTGATTCAGCTGAATTTTCCATTAATTTCGACATGATGTTAAACGAAAGAATAAATTCACTTGTTTTTTTACTAATAAATAATCTTATTTTATATTGACCCGATGAATATTCTTGAGTACCATTTATATAAGCAGGAGTTCGATAAGGACCACAATGCATAGCTATATGATGATTATCATCAAATTGAATATGATTCGAATCACTGACTAATGTTTCATTTAAAATTGTTTGTTCATTTATTTTTGAAATCGATATATTTTTAATTAATGTTTCATCTTGATCTTGATTGAGAACAACTGATGGAGAAAGAATAGTTAAATCATATTTAAATTGTTCTAAAAGAATTTTCCAACGCGAAAGATCATTTTCAATATATTCATGATTTTCACGAGCATTTTCTAATTGTTTTGCTAGGTCAGAAAAATTTTCTTTAGTATATTCTATATCAGAATGAAAAAAAATGATCGTTTTCTCTTGTTAAGTTATATATATCTTACGTTTTTGTGATTCAAATAATTCTTGAAGTTCTTTACGTGTATTTTGTGCTGTTTGTTTAATTTTTAAAATCGAATCTTTTTCCCATTGATTGATTTGATCAAATAATAAAGATGATTGTTGTTGATTTTCATTGAAAAGAGTTTTATGTTCAAGAATAATATCATCTAATTGATAATCAAGAAAATATCGATGTTCATTCGTATGTTTTAAACAAAATATTTGTAAACATCCTTCACATTTGAATATACCATTATTAGTATCTTTATTTTCACATGCAACACAAGGTCTTTTTGATGACATCTTGAGAATGTATAACTGAGAAGTAAACGGAATAAATATACATGTTCGATACCTACCTAATAAAACTATCTATGACGTAAAGAAAGAACGTGAAATAATGAATCATTTTATTCATGAATATTAATACTATTTATTATGGTAGACATAAAACAAAAAAATATGTGGGCATTCTTATAAATGATTCATTTATGTTACAGTATAAGATGTATTAATCATATCAATTACTAAGTGATTGAATATAAACATATATTTACTTAATATCTATGTCGATTATTCTGAAGACAAGAAATAACATTAAAAAGTATCAAACCACATTATTATACATGAGTATAATAATATAGGTGAGGACGGTAGCAATCATATATCGTCTATAAATATAACATGTATCTCATTAGATCGAAATTTAACATTAATGTATCGTATAAATAGTTGTCTCAAAAATATACTATATATAATAATAATATCACCTTGGCTGTAACTAAAGATCAAACTAAAAAATATTAATATGTATGTCTATCTTTTTATGAAGTTTTTACTCAAAATATGACTCATATAAAAGTTTTATAACCACCTCTTAAGTACATTATCATTGATGAGAATTACGCATGACTCATCCCGGACATCTATTCATTTTATATACTTCATTGATACTACATTAAAAACAAAGAATGCGTTGAATTTATTCATATCCGAATATATATAAGCATAAGTATTTTTTGAAAAAATATATAAAACAACAAATAAGCTATTGTATTACAAAAAATATTTATATCTACTTTTTTTGACAGAGTTAAAGGTATTCTGTATTTACATTAACTATGTTGGAAATAAAAAGAAAAACATTTATTAGTCCAGAATTAGTTCACATTTGATTTTTGTTATCGCCACTTGACTTTTAAGTAATCTGACAGTTGATCGATCCAGACCACAACTACTTAAATTCAATTTTGCTAATGACTTATTCTTTCGAAGCATATCACCGATAATACTAAGATTAGTACTGCTACGAAATTTATTCCGTTCAAGTGAAAGTATTTGTAAAGTATTATTGTTGTTTGTAAGTACTTCAGTTAATCGTTGTAAACCTCGATCACGTATTTCATTCAGTGCTAATCCTAATTTTGTCAATGTTTTATTTGATTCCAACATTATTGCTATATGTTCAATGCCTTCATCTGTAATTTTATTACCATCCAAGCAAAGTTCTTTAAGAGTTAAATTTTTATCATTTGAAAGTGCTTCAGCAAGAGCTTTTGCGCCTTTATCACCAATTTTACTGTCAGTTAGATATAATCGCTCCAATACTGTGTTATGATTCTGATTCATTAAGATGTCAGATATGGTGATTGCTCCTCTATTCCTCATTTTATTTTCATATAGAGATAGTGTTGTACATTGTTTATCGATAATTAATTGTACAGCGATAATACTAATTTCATCTGTGTTAAAACCTTTTCCAGGCAAGTGTATTTCATCACGGACTCTACATTTAGTCATCAATGCCTCAATTTTAGACTTAGAACGTCTAGTAAGTCCTTCTAAACTTGATGCTGTTGTTGCTGTTGATATTGTATCGGAATTTTCGTTACGTATCGAAGATGAAGAAAAGTTTTTCAGAGATGAAATATCAGAGTCATGCATAGATAGAGTATCTTCATCTGGAGGTGAAATATCAAATTCTTTCATAGATGGAATATTGTCTTCTGGAAGTTGACTATCTTCTTCCGTAGGTAGAGGTTCCAAATGAATTTCTGATGATACGATTTCTTTAAGATAAATGATCTGTTGTTCTTTTTTCTTTTTATGACGAATAACTTTAACAGTAGTTCCAGGTAAGAGTAATACTTCATTTTCCTTTCGGAAATATGAATGCTTGCTAATATCTACTCCATTGGTACAATCGATAACAAATAATATTTGTCGACCATTTTCTCCCATAAACTCTCTTTTCTCACCAATTGTTCGATCTGTTGAACACGAAGAGAAACCCCACCAAATTGGTTCCGAACCTACTTGATATTTTTCATAATCAGTTTCAAGTTCTAATTGAATTCCACGATAGATAGTAATTTTCTTTTTTGGAAGACGAGATATAGCAGTAAGAAGTAATTTCAAATAAGAAAACCATGGTTTTAATTCGTCACGATCTTCAGCACGTAATGCACTATTAAGAACATAATAAAGAGATTCTTTATAAGGTTCCCACTCTGATGTATATAATGCAATTGCAGCGGATTCATCAACCGTAAGACCATCAGCTGGATTGAGTGCTCGTCTTTTAAGTGCATATATTTTTCCATCAAGACGAGGCACAATATGTTTTATTGTTTTTACGGCTTCTTCGAGTGAAACCAGTTGTTTCTTACTATAACCTTCGATTGGTACTAAATAATGGCATGGTTCTCTAGCAGCATCAGCAAATCGATATGTTGTATCTTTTATGTCATCGTTAGACATTTTCCAATACGAAACTAAAATTTAATATATGACTCAAGAAGAAAAAAAAGTAAGATCGTATAGTAAGAAGATACCGGTAAAAAACATCGACACACTACATATTATATGTACAAATAAATGAAATGGGGATATTTCCAAGTAGTATCTGTTTTTTTCGCTTTTATACAGAAGTATGATTTTTATCGATCATTGTATGTAATTATATGTAGTCATTTTTTTTCTTTCTCTACTTTTTAAACAAATTATATAGACTCACGTCGCAATAATAATAATGTATATGCTTCTATACAAAACAAAAACAAGCATGACATTTTAATTATTAGAAAAAATACCTCGACATGTACAAGTTAAGCAATTTTTTAATAAAGAGAATAGTGATGAATGTAGAGAGTTTCTTTCAAGTTGAATATTCTAACAAATGATCATCTAGTTGAATGTTCTTTGGTATATTTTTAGTTAAAGTTATTCGAACTGTAAAGAAAAATATTTGATGCTAAACTGATAATAAAATATGCCAGATTTATCAAAGAGTAATCAATATGATTTATATGGTATACACATTTTGACACGCATGAGCGATCAAAAAACGATGAAGACTTGTGCAATACGACGCAAAATTTTTTTTTATTCCTTTGCGAGTTTATTTTTAGGTACTTCCTTTCTGACGCATAATAAAGGTTGTCATTTTGTATCGCGATGAAAATACACAAATCGAACTGATACGTTTTGTTTTCCAATCATTCATACACGATTCAATTCGCTTACAGCAAACGTCACAAAAACAAGATTTTGTTTTGTTCATATTTCGAAATAATTTAAACGAAAAGAATAAAAAGCGAAAGTTAAACGTCATTTACTTCTACCAAATGCTCTGCAGCTGAAAGAGCAGCTAATGATAGATAATAAATCATAAGTGTATGATAAAATCGTTAATGTTGAGAAATTTATGAAAACCTGAGAGTCGTCATTTCGTAGTTGAGTGAAACTTAAATACCCATCTAGTTATTGTATTTGATTCAATAACGATAATTTAGATGTCGCTTTCAAATTTTATAGTAAATATAGTAGTTTTATTCGATTTCTACTATGATTGGCTGACGTCTTCAAAACTTAAATTAATTCATATTGATTTCTGAAAACAAAAATGTATATATACATATATATTCAATTTTAAAATCGTTGAATAATATGTAGGTATAACTTTCAGTATGAATACTGAGTCAAATATTTAAAATATTTTATTTATCTTTCTGTATGAATAGAAAAATAGTTGCTTTAAAGGTATGTTAGTATAGTAGTTGATAACATATCGAATGATAATATAATGTGAATTAATCATCGATTATTTATGACATTTTAAAATTATATAAAATGGATTTAATACTAATTCATTGGTTTTATTTCGAATAGTATATTGATTACTCCAATATGAAACAGATTTATGAAAAATATATTTTTCATGTATTTATTTAAGAGAAAAAATGTAATTTTTTTCTTTATCAATATTTACGAGTCATGTATAACAAGAACAGAATACCGCTTTTTTTATTCTAGAAGTTTTTTTCGACTTGAAAAAAACCGAGTGAACCTCATGACGACATATTGTTTGCTATTCATTTTTGTCAAAGATGAATAATATTCCAAGTGGTAGTACATACCTGAAATTTCTGCTTTGTTACATGTCATATTTCACATTGAAACTAGATTTTAAATGATTTATATTCATACGTTACTCTCATAGTTATTACGTTTCCATTCAGACTCCAATCTGTAAGATGCAGAACAGTTAATTCAAAGATGTAGATACTCTTCGTATAAATGAGAGCTCACAAAATATACATGTATAATTTCTTATCACAGATAGACATCAGTCAAAAACTTTCGATTGTAGTATTTTAACTAGAAATATAACGCAATTGACTAATAAATGATATATATAACTTATGCTAATATTTTTCTTTCTAATTCATTAGGAAATTTCTGTGACCTAAAACCAAAGTCTTTACAATAGTAAGAGCAACCACTATTCCCTGAAACTGTTGACAAAAGAAAGACTACGATAAATTCCACCGATGGCATTGAATAATGCAGCAACTTCCCTTGTAATCTACATTTGACGTTTTTCTGTCTATATCCTTCATAATTGATAGAATCAGCATTACAATCTGGGAAAAAAATCGCTAGTTCAAGAAATTTAAATTACTACCCAGAGCACTTGTTCTTCTTCTAGCTCTGATACACATGCACTTTTATTTGGTAGTGGATTTTTCCATGGTGAGATATTTGTAAACATAATAGCTCGCAGAAAGCTTTGAATTTTCAACAATAAAACCTAAATTTGTAAACAATGTGTTAGAATTTTTTCGTACAATATAAACTATTTTCGAATGCTGATATTTTCAAAAGCAACATTCAAAAGATCGAAATTTTACTAAAGTAATAATAGCATTCGAAGAAAAAACCGATTGATTATAAACGAACAGTCAAAAAAATGTTGATATACTACTAATAAGCAAACTTTGGCTTATCAATTAGGTTGGATGTTCAAGTCTAGTCGAGCACTGCTGCAATCGAGTAATTTCTAGATCCGAATTGATTAACGAGTTCATGGTGTTACTCAAAGAAATATTTTCGTAAATATATTTCAGAAGGTTTTATTTGATACAAATAAATATCTATAAATATAGACGCAGGACTAAACTATATATTACATATTACATAATACACGTACTACAGAGATAAAAATAATCATATAGTACAAGATTCTTTTCATTTTCTTCTTATCTCAATATTAATATTCTTTATGAGTCATACTAACTGGGAGAAATCATGTTGCATTTTTCATACTGGGTATTTTTGAAGTATAATTATAACCATTCCAATAAAGCTTTAATTTATTGATCTTTATTTTAAATGAAAATGTGGAAAATATTCTTTTTAACAAATTATTAACTATTGACAAATCGATTGGAATTTTCCAAGCGGGCTGTCCCCCATGATAAGAATTGTTACGTAAAAAACACCTTGTGCGTCACATTATTCGAAGAAAGATGGAATTTTCTTTTCTTTCTATGAGAAGCCAAAGTCGACTATTACTCATCTCAAACTATAAAAAAAAACTTGGAACTTTCCAAGTTAGATTTGTTCTGTTCTGTTACTATAAAAACGTGTTGTATTTTATGATGTACATTCATTCGTGGATTTTTCTACTATGAGATACTTGTCATTAAAAATACAATATATAATTTTCTGATCCATCTTCGTTGCAACAAACATTATTTCTCTGTATTCAATTTATATCTGTATAATCTAATTATGGCTGAAAGTATGGATTATCTAACAGACACGGATGTTTTTGATGATATAATCTCATTACAAGATTCAGTATTGGAATTAGCAAATATATATTGTTCAGAAGAGGTCATATTATCTGAAAGTTCACAACCAACATTTGCTTTATCTGAAGACTTATCACATGATATTCCAATTAATCCAAAAGAGTGGTTAGTAATGCATGCAAATACCCATCGTTTGAAACCGCCTCATCTATTCGAATTTCTTCTTCGTGTTGTTCAACACCCTGTTTATGCTTCATATGCATCCTATTCGAACAAATCTGAGGGAATATTTCAAGTTCATAAACCCAAAAAAATAGCTGATCTTTGGGAAAAAGTAAAAAGTCGACAAGCAAACCAACCAATGACTTATGAAAACTTTGCACGTGCCATACGATGGTATTATCCACGTGGTATTATGTTGAAAACAAATCTTCGTCATACATTTAGATTTTCGCTACAAATATTGAACGCATACATTATCGATGAAAATGATAACCGTCTTATTTTTTGTTCTAAAGAACAGCAGTAACTGTTAGAAATATTTTGCATGTAGACAATACATATATGTTAAATGTGGATTTTACAGAAAGTACCTGAATTATACTAGATTAGTGATATGAATCTAAAACTAGTACAGTGACTTTACGTAAACAGTTATGATGTATATCATTTTTTGCTATGTAATTTGTTTTTGTATATTATTTTTTAACGAAAACTTGCTGACTATGTAATAGTACATGCATGTTATAAATTAAAAATGAAGAAAAATAATAAGATTTTTTAAAGATACACAAATTTCATTATTAATTATACAATTCAGATCAAGTGTAGAACATTTAGACGAATTTTAATGTTACCGTCACTGCCGATAATGATAACCAAATGTCTTACAGATAAAAATCAAAAATATT